GTTTTGCTATTATCAATATTTTAGCAGCCATTGAGACAAAAGGTCACGAGTGTTATTTCAAGAACAAGTCTGCTTTTTAAGATGATTTTGTCTGTAGCTTCTATTTCTATTAGAATTTTTGTGAAATTCCTGGGTGGTTCATGTTTTATTTAGCTTTATTAAATGTGTTTTACAAAGGCAGATAGTGTTACTAAAAGGATTGCATTATAAAATGTTTCATAGGTGGATGGTCTTACTAGGCGTATTGTGTGTGTTTTACAAAGGTGGGTGGTGTTTCTATAGACAGATAGCCCCTTAGGATTGTATACAGATTTCAACTTGTCTTATGTTTATAGTTTTCATTTATATATTTAACTGTATTACATTTGTTTTACAAAGGAGAGTGAAGTTTCTATAAATGGACAGTCAATTAATTTTAGAGTTAACATCCTGAAAAGGACATTTATTTAAATATATATAAATATCATGTAATAATTTAACATACAAACTTGCAGCTTCATTTATTTGGCTTTATGGATTGAAAATACTATTCCTCTACCCGTATATGCATGATTTGTATTGCATGTAACAATTCTTGATAAAATATTTAATTCCACACAGGTTACTTTATAATTTTCATTTAAATATGTTTTACAAAGACTGACAATGCTTCTATGGTGGACAGTGTAACTAAGGGCAGTGTTTCTATACTTCTGCAGGATTTTAACATATCTTCTGTTTCACTCTTACAAGTAAAATCGTTATTTCAACGAGACAACTATTATAACACTGTTACATATGTCAGTTTTATCATACGTTTTTTCAACAAAGTAAATATTATAGCCAATGCTTTATCTTACATACTTTTAATTGCAATTAAAATCTCATGTTTAGCTTTAAGTTGATTGCAAAAGTCTAAAAGATTACTATTGTGGAAAATCTTACCTCTCTGTATATATGTTCAGAAATCTTTGTTGAGAGCTTGTTTCTTACTGATTGAAACCATTTGGATATAGACTCATATCAACTGATGGCAAGTGTAGAAAGCTTTGACCCTTGTGTTTGCCTGAAGCTAAACAAGTAATGCTTTCGTTTCTATAAAACTGACAAACAAACCAGAATTTTTATTTCTGTATCTTTCAAAACAACACTTTAACCACACCATATCATTTAACCCTATTTGTTTTCCAAAGAATCAAACACATTTTTCATAAGTGAACATAACTAAAAAATGAGAGTTGAAATCATAATCGTAAACGGGCATTTTGTTATAAATCAAGTGATTATATTTCGGCTATTTCAAAACAGATATTTCCTCGTAGATTTTGAAACTGTTAGGCTAACATGAATTATCTTTTCACTTAAAAATGATTCAAACTGTCAGTTACAAATCAGTGCTTTGTGATTTTCTTATATAAAACTCATGTTTCATACAAAACTTCACGATATACTAACATACTATTTATGAAAACATCTTAGTTTATAAGATATTGACTTACAGCCCAGTGTAATAATATGTGTGGTATATACTTGTTCTAGCATGATATTAGTCAAATAGAATGAATCATAGTGAACAAAATATAAGGGGCATTCCCTGAAGTTATCAGAGTTCTTTTATCTTAAAATATATACGAATCATATCATACACTCGAAATCTGTAACTAAATTGACTGTAACATTTAGTAACAAAACTTTAAGGTACACTAATATACTATGAACTTTTTAATTTAGGAAATACTGGATTAGCTCTCACACAACTTTGGTACATTATGCTCATACTACTATTTTAGTTACAATTTATATTTTTCATTTGTGTAACATTGTGTGTAAATGAACAATAAATTTATCACGATACATTTTAACATAGAATTTGAAACAATGTTACAGTAAAATGTGATGTATTATATTTTACATTTCTACAAAGTATATCAAATTTTATTATTCATTTTGTCAGTTACAATTAGTGTTCATCTTAAATGTAACAACTTTTGAGCATGTACGCTCGAAGCCTGACTAAAGATCAAAGATTAGATAATTATGTATCTAGCTTAACCTTTTATGATAAACTTGAGAGACAAAACAAATGAACATTTAAGAAATCTACTAGAAAGAGTTGAGACAAACTCTTATATTTATCTAGACATACTTGATAATTTATATACATCAACAGTATTAACACGGTTGGTCTCACTAAGGAAGAAATATAAATCCTAAAAGATCAGGTAACAAATTAATGCTGATATTTATCGTAAATATAAGAAGTGAGAAACCTTTCATCATTAGCTTTCGCTTTCTCGGGATGTGATGATCCTGAAAATGACTTTAGAGTTTCGTTCGTTTAAACAAAACCATTATCTTCATAAAAAGAATATCCCTCATCTTTACTAATTTCGGGACGAATCTCCTCATATGAAATACATTATGTTTATTCTGTACAATTCCAAGAGCCCAATGTAGTAATATTTGGGGAATATCTAAATGTACACACAAATGACTGCATTATCAGTATTTTGCAAATTAAAATGTTTTCATAAATATTGCATTAGCATATCCTAAAGTTTTGTATGAAAATCAGAGAACACTGATGTATCTAATTTTTAAGCGAAAATATAATTCACGTTACCTTAACAGTTTCAAAATACATGTGAAGAAATATCTGTTTTGAAATAGTCAAAAATAATCATTTGATTTATAAATAAAGGTCCTTTAAGGATTATGATTGTCAACTCTTTTTTGGTTACTTTCATTTGTTAAAAATTATTTAATGCTTTGGAACACTAATATGGTTACATGATATAGTGTACATAAAGTTTTGAAAAGATATGGAAATAAAATTTCTGGTTTGTGTATCAGTTTTGTAGAAATGAAAGCATTACTTGTTTTAGCCTTAGGCAAACACAGGTGTCAAAGCTTTCTACACTTGTCATCACTTGGTATGAATCAGTAATATGTTGAAATAACCACCACTATTGGTATGTGTGTGACACTGATAATTAAGTATCTAGAATTCGTTTGATGGCTAACATGTAGCAGAGAAAAAGGTAAGAAGTTTACTTTTGTAAAGTGGTATATAATCGTTTTTGACAATCAGAGTTTATTGAGCTTTTAGTCTATATCCAGATAGTTTCAATCACTAAGAAACAAGCTCTTGACAAAGATTTGTGACCACATATACAGAGAGGTATGATTTTCTACAATAGTAATCTTTTATACTTTAGCAATCAACTTAAAGCTAAACATAAGATTTAAATAAGCGCCCTTTTCAGGATGATAACTTTAAAAGTATGGAAGGTAAATTATTGGCTATAATATTTGCCTCGTTCAAATAATGGATAATATGTAGGATAAAACTGACATATGTAAAAGCATGATAATAGTTGTCTCGTTGAAATTACAGTTTTAACTTGTATGAGTGAAAGAGAGTTCTGTTAAAATCCTATAGAACTACAGAAACACTGCTCTTAGTTACACCATCCACCTACATTAACACTAACCTTAGTATGACCTTGTATTAATAGCATCGTCCACCCGTAGAAGCACTGTCAGTCTTTGTAAAACATATGTGAAAATTATATAGTAACATGTGTGAAATATTTTGTCATACACAATAAAAATCATAACTATGTCAGTAAGGAACAGCATATTTAATCCTTAAAGCCAAACAAGTGAACTTGAAGCTTGTATGTTAGATTATTTCATGATATTTTTAGATTGAATAAACGTCCTCTTCAGGAGGGTAACTTTTAAAATGATGTTATGCAAATCAATTATAGAAGCGAAACTGTACAACAATACGTTAAGTGTGTACTAAATCATAAAATCACAATTGACTGTCTCATTCAGCATCTATTAAAACAAAACATTAGGTGTGATAAAAACGTTTTCAGCAGTATGTTAAATGAGTTAGTGACATAACACTCTGTAGAAACACATGTAATACAGTTAAATATATAAATGAAAAATATATACATAAATTGAGAAAAATTGAAATCTGTGGGTAGTCCTATGGAAGTATAGTAACACTGTCCCTTATAGAAACACCTTCCGCTGATATAATCACTATCTTTAGTAATACAATTGACTTAATGAAACTTTTAAACACAACATTATGCAAATTATATTAAATTATTAATTTTAACTTTGTTATTATAAAGTTGATAACACATTCTCATCTTCTGTTGGTTTGCTCATTATACCAACATGTTCTCTGGTGCCACTTTGTGGCCCAAGAAACATACTCTATGTTGTGTAAATCTCAAAGTATGATGTCATGCTTAGCAACATGTTCTCTGTACAACTTCTGTTGTCATGGTAGCATGATAACTTACACCTGTCATGGCAGTCTAGCTGTCATCATTTCTACCATTCTTGCGGATGCAGCAAATCAGCAAGCAGTGTCTGAACAATCCCGATAATTACTTTCTTGGATTATAGTTATTATTTTGAAATGTTGGAAATGTCAAAATTATTTCACAAAATATTTTTTTGATTTTTGATAACAGATTTTAAGCTGATCATATAAATTTACAGAATAAAACAAAAGTGTGCATAATTTAAACAGGTAAATCTACATAAAATGCAAGTTTTTGTTAATGCCTAGATCTGATTGTTCATGTTTTTCAGGTGATTAATTAACGACGAGCATATTGTGGTCACTGATAAAGATATCCATTTTATATAATCCAGTTGAAATCGTAACGACTTCATTATAAACCACATTTTTATATACCATTTAAAAGAAAGCTGTGCAGATATAGATACTCTGATAGACTAAGCAACTACATCATACACTGAAGTCTCTAAGGCTTCTAAGCCATTAGTCTTACATCCTTAAATATTCTAGTTTATACATGTCGCAAAAAATAAAGACTGTTGATGGGGATTATTCTGTTTTCAGTTTGTCATTATGTCTTAACTGTAATTAACATGTATATAACAAAGAATTACATTAAATTAATTAATTTTCTACGAACATTATATTTTTCTTTACTTATCACTCATAAATATTAATTTATTTCGCATTTTTTCTCTATAAATCACAATTAGTCATTTAATAATTGTACAGCCAGGTTGCCTTAAATGATATGTATAAATTAGAGCTGTATATTTATTGCTTATCAAACATTCATTGTAAAGATAAAAAGTCGAAATAAAGTTAATCAAATGATGTCAGGATTTTGATGATACTGGTTATTTCATCCCCTTTATTAATTTTCTGCAATGGTAGATCGAATCCAAGAAAGGAAATTTTCAACCTTTGTATAAACGCCATATTTTCTCGGGGAAGAACAACCCTCCCCCCAGCTAACAATTCCAGCAAGGTACCATCTTCCCTGAAATTTCATAATGTATGGGCCACCACTGTCCCCACCACAGGTGTCAGGCTTGTAACTTTCAGCATAACCCGCACAAAACATGTTCTCAGTGATAGTATAACTTGAACTGTCTGCACATACCCTTCTAGCTACGAGAGGAAGATTGGCTTGTTGAAGCGTTAAAGCTTTGGTTGCACCTTGGACACTGACACTTCCCCAACCCGTTACCATCCCCAAAGAACCAATGGGAAAACTTTCAAGAAAACCTTTCATGGGAAGGCAAACAGGAAGTACATTAGGCTTAAAGGCTACACGTTCTTCTAATTGCACTAAAGCAATATCATTATTATTGATAATTGGATTGCTTCCTGGGTAACGTATCCTGGATCGAAAGTTAGGATGAATTACTAGATGGCGGATCTTAGCATAAACTTCTTCAGGCTCTGGGCTTCTTCGCACCTTTCCAAGTTTGATAAAAAAATTATTTCTTGCTTCATCATCAGTGTGTACTCGAGTTACGACTCCCTTGCTATCAAGATAATTAAAGCAATGAGCAGCTGTAGCGATCCACTTGTCACTTATTAAGGAACAACCACAAACTACAGGGACCTTTTCCGTCGATAGCATACACATCCACGGTGCTGAATTTTGGGGAGCCCGAACGCCATCAATAATTCGTTTTTTTCTTCGAGTCTCCTTCTCTAAAGGTCGACCACAAGTGTAGACAGGGTACACTGATTGCTGCTCTACAGCCACCTCAATATTTCTTGACAGTTTGCACTTCTCGTCATAGAGCGTTTGCACAATGCAGCTATAAATGCCACTGTCTGAAGCTGTGAAGTTCATTATCTGAAACTTTCCTTGACCTATGTCACCAATCCTATCATCAGATTCAATATGCTGTCCATGAACAAACCATGAAACACTTGCTGTAGGATCATTAACATCACAATGTAGTAAAGCTGTACTTCCTGGTCTTACATACAACTTTGTCATCTGATTCCGAAATTCTAAAAAGCACTCCTGAGCTGATAATGCATTCACTGGAACTGTTGGTTGTTTTTCTTCCAGAATTCTTATTCGCACTGCTCGGTTTATTTGAAGACTTTCAGAACTTTGAGTTAGACAATAATACAAACCTTGGTCTCTAACAGAATAAACCTCCAATAGTAGAGAACTATTTGGAAGAACCTGGATGTTTGTGAAGCCAAGAATATCTATAATGGTATTGTCCTTAAACCACACAGGTTGACTACCCTGGTGTTTGTTATTATTACAGCCCAGCACAAGTTCTTCATGTGGCTTAGCCAAAATCTCTTCAATCTTTCCTTGCTTATATGATTCTTCACAACGAATTTCTATTGGAAGAAACAACTGATTTGAAATAGAAATTGATTTAAATTTTTTTTATTTTGTCGAACATTTAAAAAAGAAAAATATATATGTCGAAATGAAACTATTGTTCAATTAATCAACCTTTCAAAAAATATTCGTTTTAAAACCTTTATGTTTTTAGTCTCCTAATTTTAGTAAATATATATACTAATGTGCACCACTTGAACTATATGTTAGTATACAAACCATTACAAAAAAAAGACTGCTTTAATGCTTCTACAGGCTATGATCACCTCTGATTTGTAGGCTTAAGTTCACAGACAACGTTTCAACAGAAATTTGAGACTAATGGTACATAAAGTTACCTTACAAATACAAAAGTAGCACAGTTTTCTCACTGATTATTCGAGTAAGTGAAAAAACACTATAAATATCACTTCTAACACTAAACTGTGAAGAACACCCTGACACTGAGTTCATTGACTCACTGAATATTCATTATTGTTATTACTCACATTCATAAATAACTAGCTGATATACCTGTTGTTCAAGACATAGGGCGCCAGAACTTGTTTGCATGTTTCTCAGCGTCAATTTGTCTTCTTTGCTTTGTTACTTCAGGAGCTTTATTTGACAGTTTCAATTTTCTTCTTCTTCTTCAATTATCATAATTTTTGCTAAACTTTCTTGATTTTGTCCTGCCATCCATCTTTTTCCCCTAACTAAGTGATATTTTCTCTCTAACACTGTTTCTGAACAATTTTTAGTTTTAGTCAGAATTTTAGTTTAGAATTTATTTTATAGATAACGCTAAAAATGTTCAGTTGAAATGAAAACCTGAGGTGGCTTGATGCTATAAATATATCATATTTTAATTTCAATATTACCAATATCATAAATCCCCTATTTAATGTATAATGATGTTGAAAGAGCTTGCTGCAAATATGATCATTTATCTAGAAATAATTAACATGAACTCTCGAAACGACTAGAATTTTAACAGGAGACTTGCATATGAGAATTGAGCACTCTAAACATCGAGCCACTCTGACATTCAGTATTCAAAATCCAATATTAACAAATATTAAATTAGAATATCATGGTGTTCGTATTTTCAGATTATTGAAAAAGCTTGCTCTAAGCATGACCACTTATTTAAAAAGAAAATAATCCCAACTGTACTGGTATTTGGACACGATACTTTAACTTGAGGTTCATGCACTCTAACCACTGATGCAGTTTTAGTGTTATCAACAGACAGTGGATTTTATATACATATAAAACAATCTCTTGATATTAAACAAAGCTTCTCGATTATTACATTCTCATGGTTAGCAGCCCCCTCTAGCAAACAACTAAATTATAACATTAAAAATATAGCTTACAATACAGCCCCCTCTTGTATTATGAAGTCCCTTGACCAGTCTTAAAACTTATATAAAACAGTACAACAAACTGTCCATTCACCAAGTCATTTTGGTGATTTTCTATTCCGAGGTCCATGGTATGTAGATAGAATGGCCTCTTGTCCTTTTTTGTCACTAGCTTTTCTGTCACTAGGGAGTTCTTCATAGGAAGGAGGCCAAGTGAATCTACTGGCAGTTCTATCTATTGTCGTCTTCTGGAAGTCGTCTCGACAGGAACCCTGAGCTCCTCAGCAGGTTGACTTTCCACTCACAAATTCTTCTCTGGAGTTACCAAGTTGGCTATTTCTTCCCAGACATTCTTTCGAAGAAAATTATAGTGGATGACCTTTAGCTTAGACCACTTGTCTTTCTGAAATTCATAATGCACACCATTGGATGTTTTCAGTATAAAATATGCTCCTTCCCAACACCTGCTTAACTTTGAAGTTTATCCTTTCTTGTGGCAGGGATTGTATAGCCATACCATACCACCTGAATAGAATTCATTATTTTCAGCACTAACATTATAACAACCTTTCACTTTATATCTAGTTTATTAAATTCTTTCCCAGGTTAAGTCATGTATGAGGTCTATATTCTTCAGATTCATGGGAGCTCTTCCATTCATCAGTCAATGTATTAGGACATGCTGGAGTAGTTGCCTTCACTCTGGCATATTCATTAGATGTAGATTTATTCCTAATAACTCCTGATATGAGTATTTCACTTCTTGATGGTACAATGGACATTGTCACTAGAAGTTCACCCTCTGGTGTAGTAACTACCATATAGTACACAAAAATTTATTTTTCATAGACTATGAAACTATGAGAAGCTAGCTTAATCTCGCATTCATATCTCCAGATGAAGTCCATTCACAATGTGCACTATTTCTCGACATTAGTTACTCACACATCACAAGGTGTAGAGAAGCTTTTTTACAGTAGGAGTAACTTCCAACATTTTTCCTGATAGAACTTTGTGTCCACTTGCTGTTTGCTTCAATACATCTTCTTTCGTCATTGCTGGAGTCAATTTATCATTTTTCATTAGCAAAATTGAGCTATTGTAACTGTATAATAAACCAGTGTCGATCAATATACTGAAAGATTTCTCATCATTGCTCATTGATAATTTTCCTCAAATAATGAGCTTCTTATCTCATTTGGAGCAGATGGAGTATTTCCAGATGAACTTGACCCAATAAATCCAGCTAATTCCTGTTTTCTCGATATCTGGTTTGCTATTTGTTGTTTCTTTGATCTGGTTGGGCGCTGTATCCTTGGCTGAATAACAGCCAATGACTTCTTACAGCTTCGGCGGTGTTTTCCATAATTATAACAGCTTTATTTTACGGACATCCTTTGAGAGAGATTGTTATTCCCCATAGGCTTTTTCCTACAGTTCCTGGTAACACGCTCTTTCAAGTTACACATGAAACACCAATGTCTTGTCCTTTATTTCCTTTATTCAATGTAACTAGTTGTCTATCTAATCCCTTCAGACACTCTATACTATCTTCAGGGGAAATGAATATTTCAATACCACTCAATCTCATGGTCCTGTAATTGTAACTTCTAGACGACACCATTAATGGTTTATCTGTAACTTTAATGGATTCAACTTTCATCTCCAATTGGAGAGCTTCCTTTAAAGATGTACACTTACTTAGTTTCAATTTAATTCTCATATTTTCATCTGTGACGGTATCTATAAATTAACCATGTGCCAACGAATCCGTCATTTCACATATAGCATCTGGCTAAGATAATTTGGCGAGCCTTATCAAGTCTTTCATAGGTTCAGCTAAAGTCTCTTCTTTACTCTGTACCCTGCTCTGGAACTTTGATATTTGATACTTCCTTCTGGTGTGTCACTCCAAACTTGTTGGATAAGACAGCTACCAATCCTTGATAGTTGTTATGGCTCTCAGCTGGAAGATAACATAATGATGTTAAAGCTGGTATTTTTAGTTAAATTATCAAAAGAAAAATAAATTGTTCATTTTTCCGCCTGTTCACATTGGAAATGTTACCTTTTCATCATAATCCATTCGTTTCTCAATTGGGTAATTTTGTTTAATTAGCTGTAGTAGTCCAGGAAGGTCCTGCAGTAACAGATGGCACAACACTAGTGGTAGTAGGTGTAGACCAATTAGGTTCTCCTATCCCGTATTTTGTAATAAACGGTGCTTTAAGTTGGAATTCTTGGGCAGGTGTAGAAAGACGTATGGCTGGATTTATCTTTGCATTTGCCAATTTATTTTCCAAATTTTTTTATTCTCTCATTATTTCTTTTGTACTTGTTCAATTTTGTCATCACAGCCTTTCTGAACTTCTTTAATGTTGTCACTAGAGACTTTTTGTACTTTTCTGTATATTTTCTATTGCTTCACTTCAATCAGATTTATTTTGTATTTCATTTCTTCTTTAAACAATTATCTTTTTAAATTCCTTTCTTAAATTTCTGTCTCTTTCCTCTTGGTCTTTTAATTTTTTGTCTCTTTCTTCACGACCTTCTTTTAACTATATCATCATTTCTAGGAAGGTTTACTCTTGCATCTTGCATTTGTTGTCATCATCTTAAACAATTGTGATTTCAGTTTTATTCAACTATTTTGTTGTCACCAAAATAGTTTTACTTCTGGCACAACCATTGTATCTTATTCTATTATTGGGTGAATTATTTTGGATTACTTGGTAAAAATAATGTCAATTCCTGTCGATATAACGATAAGGAATTCGTATATTTTTAGCCGCGGCATAGCAGCTCATATAATGGCTACGAGTTTTTTGTTGTATTTTTTCTAATACAAACTTTTAGCTCATAGCTTCCTCATCTCTTGACCAATTTGAGATATAATTACAGTTTTAGACTCAGGAGGTCAAACCCTATCGTTGATATATTTGACCACGCCCAATATTTCATAGATTAATTTACATTGATCCTGCTTACAAGGATTTCAATTTGAGGGTAGAGATCATGATGAGTAATGAAATTGAATCAGGTATACGCGTGCCCCACACTTGGTATTACTGGCGCACAAAAATGTCACTAATAAAAAGGACAAAAAAAAGGTCTTGTAGATTAAGTTACTCTAATCCTGTCTTGTTTTCTAGGAAGTTTCTACAGGCTAAGTTCATTTTGGCACAAGTTGTAGGCCTAGATTTGACAAATAACACTTCAAATGAAACTCCATAGCTTATTGTACCTATGCCTATCTTACAGATACAAAATTTACAGAATTCCTTGCTAATTGTTCAAGTAACTGAATAGATGCGATAAATCTCACTTTTATTGCTAAACTGTGAACTCTTTTGACACTGAACTTGTAAATTCATTGAATACTTATTAACTTCACTAACTGATTACTCGTATTTATAAATTACTAACTGGAGTACTCGACCGTTGGTTGGTTGTTTGATGTTTTATGGCGCAAAGCAACGAGGCTATCTGCGCCAAACAACCAGTAAGAACAGTAAAAAAATAAACTATAGTAAAATGTAAAAACACAAGGAGTTAAAACTAAAATGTGTACAAAATTAGGATAAAAGAGTTATATTCAGTTAAAAAGGCCAATTGTTCTTAAAAAATTAAAAATACAATCAAGTCGACAGGGTCACCATCGCCAATGACACTGTCCAACGTCAGGGGTAAACTCTTACAAAACAAGTGTCTAAAATGGTGCCACCACTCACGGTCGTAATGACGGCACGACAGTAAGATGTGAGCTATTGTGACTTGAGTGACACAAAGGCTACACATTGGTGAGTCATTACCAGATAAAAGAAAATGACGAGTTAAAAAACTGTGACCAATGCGTAGCCTTGCCAGGACAACTTCCTCCTGGTCCTTACAGAAGCAAGACGGCCAAAGAGCAACTGAAGGTTTGATCTGGAAAAGCTTGTTATGACGTTGCTCACACAAGTCGACTGCCAACTGGCACATAGCAGCGCCTTGAAGATAGGACCATAGTCCATGTACGGGACAGGAAGGGCCGTGACGGCACCAGAGCAGACAGACTTAGCTGCATTGTCAGCGAGCTCCAACATGGCCAGGTATCCTGAAAAACTGTGTGGAAACAGAAGATAGATAGAAATGAGCCAGTCATTGTTGAATATCGACGAGAACAGGGTGAGACCTAATGTTATGCGATTCCTGGGCCAGTAGAGATCTAAGAGAATCAGTGTAAATAGTACAATCACTGTACTGCATAGCTTCTACATGATCCAAGGCAGGAGAAATAGCATACAACTCGGCAGTGAACACAGAAACTGTAGAGGGATCCTGCGAGCAACTACCGAGCCACAGCAAACCATGGCAAAGCCTACAGAGTCACCTGATTTTGAACCATCTGTGTAAATAGGAAGAGAAGAATGGCTCGAAAGATGTTCAGCAAAAAGAAAATGGTACTTCCAATCGGGAGTATCCACCTTCCTCAGATGACTCAAGGAAAGGTCACTGGAAGGGAAGGTAATAAGCCATGGCAGAATGGGCTGATCATTGGGGGACAGCAATGTCATCCAATGCCAGACTCAATTCAGCCAGTTGTGCCCAGATACGAAGGCCTAAGATAGTAATTGCAGACCGTTTGTTCTGAAAGAGCATGGCCCATCGAGGAAGAAAGACACAATCCCAGGTGGGATGCCATAGCAAACTTATATCAGTCATATTGTAAAGAAAGTTGCAAACGATGGAGGTAAAGAGGAGGTTCATGAGACTCAATGTACAAACTCTGGAAGTGTGAAAAGCCCTGGTGCAGAGCCGAAGCCCCAGATGGTGAATGGGATCCAGCATCTTCAAGGCCGAGGTCCTGGCAGAACCATAGACCCACAGTCCAGTTTGAATCGAATCAGGGCACGATAGATCCTAAGCATATAACATCGATCTGCTCCCCAACATCTGGAAGAGAGGACACAGAGGATGTTCAGTGCCCTTGCACACTTGACATGTAGCTGCTTGATGTGCAAAATGAAGCTAAGCTTACAGTCAAAGATAAGTCCCAAGAATAACCATATGAATAACTATATCGCCGAGATGGAGCTTGGGATTGGGGTAGAGACCCCTCGACCACTGGATGGATGAAATAAAAATTCGTTTGTAACAAAGGATATGAAATTGTGCTACTATTTTTTTCTCTCTAAAGATAATAAAAATACATAAAGGTAAAATATACAGAAAAGAAAGACATACTGTTTTCAAGACTTTTATCAATATGAAATTAGATGGGGGGTCTATCTCCATCTCCGTCTTGACCTTCCTCATATCATTCTGTATCACTGTGTCAAGTTCGGTGCTAATTGATTAAGAAATGTGGAAACGTATAAGGAACAGATACATTCACATATATTAACGTTTATTTATATAGAAGATGGGGGATTTCCAACCCCTTCATGACCTTCCTCATGTCATCCTATATCACTGCGTCAAGATTGGTGTTGATTGATCAAAGAAATGTGGAAAGGTATAAGGAACTGGTGGCTGAAATGTGCGAACAAACAGACACAAACTTAGCTTTATATATATTAGATGTACCCTAGTCTCTATGTATAAGACAAATCTACTCGGTTATTATATCATCATGGTTACCAGCTTCCTTTAGCAACCAACTAAATTATAACATTGAAAATATTGGTTAAAACACTACCTCCTTCGTGATTGTGAAGTCCTTTGAACAATTCTAATACTCAAATAAAACAGTACACAAATATATCAGTACACTAAATTGTCCATTCACCAAGTCATTTTGGTGATTTTCTCTAACAACTAAATTATAGTGCCCGGCATGGCCAGGTGGATAAGGCGCTCGACTCACAATCTGAGGGTCGCGGGTTCG